ATCCAAATGTTAGCAAAATAATTCAGAACAACAGTTTGTGACCTGCTGCCAACTATGAGATTAATTGACTATCTTTAAGCCATTTAATGCATTGACTAACAATTTAAATATCACAATCCTCAAATATTCCGATAATTTATATGTTCAAACATTACTTAATGAGTGATACAAGATACAAGAAGATACTGATAAGCGGTCCAAATCTATTTGATTTAATTTTGAATTGAATCAAATAGAATACATGTTCAGGTAATACTTGTAATTGTACATTATGTAAGAACATTAAATAAGCTAATTATGTTTTATAAATTCTTACGAACGTTTTTTTTACAGGCTGGAGATTCAAAATATTTTTGAATAATTCCTTTTGAAAACAGAAGTTCAGAAGTGTTCAGTCTCGGTTGAAAGTGTTAGTCGGAGACCGCAGGCCGAGTCTAATGAGCAGACGGTAAAACAAAACACATTTCTGTACTCTAGATTATTTAGATATTTTTTTAAGATGTAAATATTGACCATTTTTTATGTTTCTAAACCAAATGTAGTGTGATAATATCCGACCTAGTTCAGTGCAGAAAATCTAAGCTGCAGTTGTGCTGTTCATGCACCAGGGGTGCGCAAGTGAGCACAGTCTTAGCCCCTCCCACAAGCCCTCCCCCTGCATCCTGGCCCTCCCACATCCTGCCCCCGTCCCCCCCTCCTCACTGCCGCACCCTGCCATCTGGTTCTTTTCACATGCACACACACACACACACACACAGTCAGGATTTTTTTTCTCCTCATTTCCTTTCACAGTGAAAAACAGGATGAAGGGGCTCTTTCAGACCCAGGTTACTGTGGAAACCCCCGTATTCTTCTTCTGTCAAACTTGCTTACATTGTAACACACGTACACACTCTTATAAAGAGAATGACAGAATGTTGGACATTTAAAGTTTAAAGGGACCAAGGCTACAGCTGTCCTTCTGTCTGCCATAGTTTTGGCCTTCTATTTCGTTTAGACAAAGAACATTATGCCCCCCCCTCCCTTTCTTTTTTTCTTTGTCTCATTCCCCTTTTAGTACGAACACTTTTGCGTTCTCAAAGTAAACCTTCTAAAAACCAAAAGGCTTTCTTGTTAATTAAGTTTCCCTGAAATATGTTATGTTGATGTTTGAAGTTGGCAAAAGATGTGTTTGTGTTTCTGTGTGGTTCTTTCAATTGGGCAACCTCAGCAACTTTTTCCAGAGAACGGCTGAACCCCGGGATGTTGATGTTGTAACTATAAACCCTTCTGCTCCGTTCCAGTTTCGACAATCTCCAGCCCTGGAATGCTGAATGGAAAAAAGTTAGCTAGAAGTTATATAAAGTTAATGTTGAGCATTTGTTCTGTCTTGCCACCAGGGGGCCCATGAAAAACATATTTATATACAATAGAGCACATCATCTGTAAGCTTTTAGTGGGTTAAAAATAAACTGCAGCAGCTCCACAAGCAGGGAGTGGATTCATAAGCGGATGAATAGACCGCATGGAAAAAAACCAGGAGGAGAGATTGAAAGGAGAGGACTGAAACTACTCTTTCAGTTCAGGCTATAGGGATGAAAGTGTACCAAACTGTTTTCTCTCTCTTTCTCCTTTTGTTTCTGTTTCTTCTTTTTTACATCTGTCCATCTGTCTTTTTAATTTTGTTTCTCTTTCTCCAAGCCTGGCTACCCATAGCTTTCTCCAGCACACATTTTCTCCTTTTAAGGAGTGAGGGAATGAGAGAGGAAGGGAATAGGAGGGAGGGGGTTGAAGGACACACTCAGGCCTGCTGACTGATAAACAGACTCCTCTTTGTGCAGATAGACACACGTGCGCGCGCACACACACACACACGCACATATTGACTAAGACCCCTCTGCATGACTTGGCTCCTCATGATTCTCTGCACCCCTCCTTCACCTCTCCTCCATTTCTCTCTTTCTCCTTAATTAAAAACAGAAGTCAAAATGGAAGAATTTTTTTTTTTCTTCTTTCATGACACACATGCTTTTCTGTGTGCATTCTCACACATACACACCCCCCCCCCCCCCCCCCCCCCCCCCCCCCCCCACACACACACACACACATCCCCCATCCTCATCATCTCTCACTGCCAAGCAGCTGTTGGGGAGACGAGGGGGAAGTGTTCCAGGAAACGAGAAGTGTGTGTGTGTGTGTGTGTGTGTGTGTGTGTGTGTGTGTGTGTGAGAGAGAGTTTTTCCACAAAAGGTGGTCTTCTTTGTATGACGGTGTAACAAAAAGGCAGCTGGGACGATAAAACATGTGGATGTTGAGATGTCGGCGCTCCACAAGTGTGTTTTTTTGGTGCGTCTGTCTCGCCTCACATGTGTTCTGACTCCTCTCCTCCCCCACAATGACTAAGTGCAACGTGGTGCAGTGCTCCATAGCCAACACTAGAGGTGCCATCGGCTCATAAATGAAATAAACTGTCCATGTGGAAACCACAGAGCAGCCATTTTACAATCTGCACACCAGACCCCATTTTATGAATCAGCCATGATGTCAACAGAGCTGTGCCGGATCTCATTGGCCAGAGCGCAGCTGGCACTGTAGCTATGATAGCAAGGACACACGCACGCACACACACACATGCTCCCTCACCGGCTCTACATCTCTCTGAGATACACACACACACACACACACACACACACACACACACACACTGACCTGGTGACATGACATCACTAGGTCACTAGTCTTGTCCCAGACTAACTGGATTGCCAGTCCTTGAGATTACACACCATCGAGATTAGATTCATCTGCGCTGTAGCATGTGTACTTGTCTGTCTTTGTACAAGTCTGCATGTGCATATTTATGTGTGCACACTAATATTATGTCTTTATATCTCAGTATATCTTTAAATGTGTCTCCTCTGACTTTAGATGCTACTTTCTTGAAGAAGTGGATCATTTTAGGTCATTATCAGTCTCCCTGTTTTAGTCTCTGTCCTGAGATGTTTATTTGTAGATGCTTGTCACTTCCTTTGAGTCTCTTCCTCACCTTTCAGCTGTGACTTGCTCTGTTTATGTGTTGGTTCCTCTCAGATGTCCTGATAGAATGTCCTACCCCGTGTGAGTAATGGTTGACTTCCTGCTGTGGTTTCCTGCTCACAGCAGAGACTGTGGCTGGAGTGTTGGACACACAATAGTATTTTTGATCCATGGTGGTGATGCATACAGCTGATCATACTGATATAGAACACAAATTATATCCAAACGGTAGAAGAACAGAGTTGAAAGAGATCAGATTGCCCTGAGGTTTGAGTCAAACTTTAGACACAAGTGATGGTTGATTGTGAGAGAGGATGTTCACAAAGCTGAAGGAAACAATGGGGCTTATTGAGGCCACAGGCCACTGACTGACTGACTGCTTTGTGTATAACTGTATGTTGTAAACGGAGAGATGAGCAGCTCATCAAGAGGCCCAGACTGTCCGACTGATTGGCCTCTCACGTAGAGACAAAGCACTGTTTGACTGGCCATATGGAAGGATGTGCCGCTATGCTGTAGTGGCTCTCTCTCTGTCTGTGTGGAGAATACTTAGTGTTGTTTGAATGACACTGTTATTCACTAGCAAACTGCAGTTGAATGCGGACAGATTGTGGGACAAGATGGTGGAGCGAAAAAAGGCCGCACATACCGTACACAGAGCTGGGTTAGGTAAACCTAAATGATAATGGATAACGAATATCAGTAACACTGGTAATGAAGCAGCCGTCAGTAGGTCTGTCTCTACAACATGTGGTCGTTGGGTACAGGGGCTACAGTTGTACTTTATTTAGCTTCTGATGTCATTACACGAGGTCGTCGCCGGGAAGTGGAAACAGGTGTGCTCAGAGTTTGATTTGTATTGTTTGTCAGTGTGATTCATGCAGATAGTGACAGATAGACGCAGCATACTCGTACCGAACATGCTGTACCAACTCTGTTGCTGACTGTGTCCCAGACGGTGAGTCTTGGTTCCTGCTAGTCTGGTCTAAACAAAGATAAGAAACGGAGAAGGCCACATACAGAACAAAACCCGAGGAGAGACTGGAAAGATGTGGGTGGTGTTGATCCTCCAATGTTAATCACAGTACAGAGAGAACTAACAGATAGGAATTTCCTTTGAAATAAACTCCTCATGTTTGTAAATCTGTAACCAAATAATGTTTTTTATACATATCTGTTAAATTACATAAGTTTTGTCAATGACAATTTTTCTGTTGATTGTCTCATCATGGACTACAGTACTGCATCTTCACATGAATGTTGAATTGAGTTTGAGTGGTTAGATAATATTGTCAGAAACAAGTGAAGAACTGTGACTTCCAGTACTCTGCTGACCTCAGGTCTGATGTGTACAGTGGGCTATCAGCTGGTTGGAGTCATGTGCTTGTTCATCTTTCACTCCTAATTATCATCCAGTGCACATTAACCCCCACACGCTGACACACCCGTACAGTCACAATCCTGACCTTGTCAGAACGAGTTAATGTGAATCGTTTCTGTCAAGTGTGTGTGATGTACTGTATATGCGTGTATGTAGGCTGATTGCAAACTTTGAATGCCTTACAGCTGACAAACGTCCGACCGTATTTACCACACACACACACCAGGGGTGTCTTTCCCCCAGTGTTACAGCCCTCGCATAGCAGTTCCATTGTAACCCTAGGACAGTGATACAATAACCTTAACACCTCCATGACACCATACAGTTGGGAGGGAATGAAAAAAGTGAAGGCCTTGCCAAGTCTGTCAGTTTTCATAGCATCACATAGGCCCTCTGTCCATCCCTCTCTCTCTATTACAGAACTTGCTGGATTCTCCACTATGCTTCTTTCCAACATTATTTCTATTCATATCCAGCTGTACTAGTCATCACACATTAAACAAAGTCACCAAGAAATGTGTTTTCTAACAAAGTCTTCTCTTTCTTCTGTCCTTCTCTTCTTCATCCTCTTCTTCACCCTCCCCATTTCTTTATTCACCTTTTCCAGCCAAAAAGGAGCAAGGTGGCGGAGACGAAAAGCAGCTGCAGAAGAAGAAGGTTAAGGAGCTGAAGATTCTCGACTCCAAGTGCTCACAGAACCTTTGTAAGTCCAGATACCCCCACACCAATGACTCTTTAAACGCATGCAGCGAAAACATCCATTGAAATGACAACAATAAATTGTGTTCAACTGAATCCTAACTGTGTCTGCTCATACAGCCATTTTCCTGGGATCAATCCGTGTCCCGTATGAGGAGATAAAGAGCGCCGTGCTGCAGGTTAATGAGAAGGTCATCACAGAGTCCATGGTTCAGGTATGGAGCTGAAATCTGCCCCGGTGTTGGTATACAAGGGCCTGTTTGTGCAACCATAGTTGGGACACGTCCAGATCCTGATAGTCATGTACAGTATATGTTTCATTGTCTCGCAGAGCCTGATCAAACTACTGCCAGAGGCAGAGCAGATGACTGCCCTGGGAGAGATGAAGGAGGAATACGATGACTTGGCTGAGTCCGAGCAGTTTGGAGTAGTGGTGAGTAAACGTACACACGCAAATGAAAAAACACACACAACAGACTATTTAGATTTTTATAAAATCAGTATTGTGTGAATTCCCAGCTGACTTGTTACATGATCAACCACAAACATAGCGGGGAAATCAGTGTGATGGAAAATGACGCATGGAAGATGTTGAAATACTGAGATAGAGTCATACCGTTGTCAATATATTAGACACAGATAATCCTCATGATGTTAAACACAGAGTGCTTTGTTCAACTGTGAAGGATGTGAGTAATGAATGAAACCCCCTTACACATAACTACACACAAACACACAATCTACGTGGCAACAAACGTACCAGGAATGGCTCCCTCTTGTCTCTCTCCAGATGTCCAGTGTGAAGCGGCTGATGCCCCGGCTTCAGGCCATCCTGTTCAGGCTGCAGTTTGAGGAGCAGCTGAACAACATCAAGCCAGATGTGGTGTCTGTGACAGCAGCCTGCGAGGAGCTCAGTAAAAGCAAGACCTTCCCCAAGCTACTACAGATCATCCTCGTTGTCGGGAACTATATGAATGCTGGCTCCCGCAATGGAAAGGCCTTCGGCTTCTCCATAGCGTACCTGTGCAAGGTAAAGTGAGGTGGAGACGCAGTATACAACACAGAATATAATCTCAATACATGGACTGAAAAGGTCTTTAGTTCTACGTTTTGTGTACTTCTTGGGGGTCAAGTGTGGAAATGCTGACGTATAGTAAATGAGATAAAGTCAAATTTATACTCGTACTCAAACAAGAGTAGAATCTGTTCCAGTGCCAATAATAACTTTTGATTGATTGCCTTTTCAGTGTGCCATTTTTAAATCAATCCTTCTCCCAATCAGCTGCGTGACACCAAATCAGCTGATCTGAAGCAGACGCTGCTCCATTTCCTCGCTGATGTGTGCCAGGAGCAGTATCCTGACATCATGGGCTTTGCAGACGAACTCATCCATGTAGAAAAGGCCAGCAGAGGTACATGGGACATCCAATTGACGTCTATAAATCTCCATCCCTGCATATTAATTACCATCGTATGGATCCAGTGTGCTCTAATTGTTATAAGATCTATCATGAGCTTTGTATGGAGGTGCTCTGCATCATTAATGTTTCTTCTGCAGTTCCTGCAGAGACACTTCAGAAGAACCTCGAGATGATGGGCCGTCAGATCAAGAACCTGGAAAAGGATCTGGAAACCTTCCCCCCTCCGCAAAATGACAAGGACCTGTTTGCGGAGAAGATGTCGATATCCTCTTTATTCAGTCAAACAATAGATCTTCTGATCATAAATCATGGTGTCTTACAGATACAGAGAGATGTGTTCTATGTTCCTTAACAGAATGTTTCCACAGTTTTGTGGTTACCGCCCATGAGCAGTTTGAGAAGCTGGATATGCTGCATAAGAATATGGAGAAGCATTATAACGACCTGGGAGAATTATTTGTCTTTGAACCGAAAAAAATCTCCGTAGAGGAATTCTTTGGAGACCTCAACACCTTTAAAAACATGTTCCAGGTGTGTGTTTTATTCATGTGAATGAACTGATGTAAAGTCTTTACTGACCTCCTACTAATCAGCTCCTACACATACTGTACAAAGACACACACACACAAGTGGAGTCAAAAACAAATAAGTAGATGAAAGAGGGATGACAGTAAAATGTCAAACCAGGAGGAGAAATAAAGGCAGCACACCTGTCTGTATTGACATAATACAGAATGAGAGCGACTCCATTATATCATCAGTTTATACATCAACTGTAAATGTACCGTTTGGAAGGTCTCCCGCAGGAGGTAACTTGTTTTACCAGTTACTGGTGATAACTGCCATCCATACAGACATCCATCACATCTGTCATACATTTGTCTTAGAATTGTCTAAGAATCACTTTTGTACTTGTCACACTAACTTATGCACACCAAACACTTATTTTGCGTACATACATTGTCTGACATCCTTCTCTCTTTGCTCCCCGACCAGCAAGCAGTAAAGGAGAATCAGAAAAGGAAGGAGGCTGAAGAGAAGATCAAGAGGGCCAAGCTGGCCAGAGAAAAGGCAGAGAAGGAGAAGGAGGAGAAGCTCAAGAAGAACCAGCACCTTAACATCAACACAGGTCACAATTGCTGGATCATATCTGTTTACCTATGTGTGACTGAAAGCAAGAGAAACACTCTGTGTCTCTGTTTGTATTTCCCTTAGATTCCAGTTGGGGGCAGTCAGGGTCCACGCTTTTGTAGATTATCTCTGTGTGTGTGTGTGAGAAAGAGCAACCCATCAGTATTTATAGACCAGAGTTAATCTAATACAGATGACCTGTGTTTTCAAGTAAGCAAGTAACAATAATCTCCATAGAAAGTGAGGACAAGGAGGATGTATATGAGGAACCGCCTGACCTCTTTTCCCTCCTCTGGTGAACGGGGGCTTTTCTTCCATGAAAGAGAACCTTATGAACGTCTAAATCTCTTTATCACCAAAAACATATTTCCACTCTTCAATGAGATGCTGTTATACTTAGAAAATGCGAGCAGCATATTGTGCTTTGTGACACACACACATTCTCGCTCGCTCATCCTCGCATACACACAGTTAACACTAAAATCCTGCCTGGCAGACACACATTTATGCACAGGCACTTTTCTCCCCTTCTCTCAGTCTGTGACCTAGTTTCAGTACATTCCTCCTCTCTCTGGCTCCAGTCATGTTCTCCTGGGACTTCACACTCAAAATGTGCTGCGGCCTCAGTGCGCCCTGTGTATTTGTGTATGCGTGTGTGTCACAAAATTACCACTAGTTGCTCCTAGTTTGTTTCTGTTTTGCCTATGTGTTAGAGTAGTGTTTATGTGTTTTTTTAGAATGTGTATTTGTGTGTCGGCTTTGTAAACCTCTTTCACAAAAGTCTTTCTCGCCTTTCTCCTTGTGCTCCATGTTCCAGCTGGCTTCTCCTCTCCTCTCTTTCTTGCTTTTGTTCCATCACTCCCTCTTCTTTCTTTTTTTCCCTTTCCCTACCCCCGTCGCTCATTTAAAGGGCCGTTAAAGACCCAGTGAGCACCGAGGCTCCACTCTGAATACTTTGTGTCTGTGTTTAAAGTATGGAGAAGACATTTTGTGGTAGAAAGTGAGGTAGTCAAATTTCATGTTCAGCCTCCAGAGGCATGCACACATGGAACACAATAGTGCTTCAAAGATGCATTAGTGGGCTGGAGATTATTTACATACAGGTGGCATATTTGACTGCCCCTGTAGCCCAGAGTCATTCAACGCCCCCCTATTTACATTCAACCACACACAAACCCAGCATACACACACCTGGTCTTTGTTCAGTATTTGTTTACAACCATCATTCTGGATGGCTGTCACACAAAGGTTGTTTTCAGTAGCTATACTTTCACATGCTCACATCTTCTTTGTTCCCTTTTTTTCTTTTAATTCCCCACCCTTCAACTCTCACTCTCTCACCCTCACTATCTCATGAATGTTGTTCTTTCTGAATGCTGCTCTTTATCACTCTCTGTCCCTTTGTAGACATAATATAGCAGTTGTTGGTTAAACCCTGGAAGGTCAGTGTGTGTTTTCACTTTGTGGCCTTGTCATTCCTATGTGAGTCAGACAGACAGGCGCTCATTCAGTGCAGCCTCGTACATGTGCTACACATGTAATGGTAGTTATTGTGAATATACTTGTTTAACATGTGGATCATCAAATCATTGTTTTTACTTGGCTTTATTTGCCTCTCTCTTGATCTGATAAATACTATCTACTACTACTGAAAGATCCCTGGCTGTCATACACATCTTTGGAAACATGCCAGACAACCTTTTCTCATTTGCACAGCTAGGTGTCAGTACCGTCTGTAAAAACAACAAGTGAGGCTCTGTGCTTTTATGTACGTGGCAAAGACTACACACCCACACAGATGCTGGTATGGGAACTGCCAGTAGGAGTGCTCGTGCTCTACACAGAGAGCGAGTGAGAGAGTAGTGTGGGGGAGGAGAAGAGGGTAGTAAGGCAGCATATGCTCTCTTGAGGATTAGACTGTGTTGTTGTTGTCTTCTAGAAAAGGAGGTGAGGAGTAGAGGAGAGAAGCACATGGTGACAGAGGGGATGAGATAAGCCTGGGTAGCCTGCCTCACTGCAGGCCACTGTGAAAGAGGGCCACGATCATGGCACATTAGGAAAATCCAAATTCTGTCTCCAACCCACTTGAACGCTTATTTTCCTTCTCGTTTGTTGTAACTCTTCTCTGTAAATGTTTCCTTTCATGTCCTCGTCTGTTATTGTGTGAACGTCCATTAGGGGTGCTACTGCTCCACACAAGATGCTCTCCTCCCTCTATGTTTGTGTGTGTGTGTGTGTGTGTGTGTGTGTGTGTGTGTGTGTGTGTGT